GAAGCCACAGTGAGATACCACTTTACAACCACTAGAACGGCCATGACCCAAAAGACAGACAATAAAGTGTTATGTAAGCTCTGAAAGAATTGGAACCCTCATAAATTACTGGTGAGAATGTAGGATGGGCTCCGCCATTTTGGAAAACATAAGCCAACACAAAAATTTGGTTGTGGATATTCACAGTAGCATTAGTCATAAAAAGAGCACACATTGAATGATTGCATTTATACGAATCTACAGAGAAAGTAGATGTGTCGTTACCTACAGCTGGAAGGGTAAGGGTTAGAAACAGGAGAAGTTGCTAATGGATGTGGGGTTTCTTTTCTGGGCAGTGGAAATGCTCTATACGTTGATGTGGTTACAGTGCAACAACTTTTTGGATATACTCTAACCACTCTAACCACTGTACACTTTAAGTGGGGATTCTTATGGTATGTGAATTATATTTCAATGAAGCCGTTTTCTTTCAAAAGTGTATCATTAATATTAATGAACCAGATGTTTAATTTCACATTTTTATCCTCAAAAAATAAGTTCTAGCACCTAAGCTTTTGACGTTTTGTCATTTTCATATTTAATAAGAGCAATGTTTCCAAAGATGTCTCTTTTTTTAATAAATGTAGCTGGACAACTCAGCCAGTCGGCACATTTAGCGCTCCAGCTGCCGTACAATGTACTTGGTTTGGGTCGAAGTGCGAATTTTCTTGATCATCTTTATGTTGGTATTCCTCGTCCATCTGGAGAGAAGGTGAGTAAAAATTTGTTTTGTTTACAATGAATCTGTATTTTAATATTGACTATTCAGATATTTGAGTTCAGTAATTTGAATTCAAATAATTCAAATACTTTTTATTCCCTTTAAAGAACTAAAAAATTGATTTGCAGTAACCTGTCTAAGCTTGACCTACATAGAGCGTTTCATAGTTTGAAGATATATATAGTTTCCTGCCTCCTCTCCCATAAACTTCATTATTCCTATCCCTCCTTCCTGCTCTTTCTCCTTATCATTCTCACCCTCTAACATATATAGATTTTCTTTTGCTTATTGTCAGATTCCACCTCAACTTTCATTTTAGCTCCAATCAGCATTTGTACATAGCACTTTGAACAGTGACTGCTACATAAAAGTATTCAGTAAATATTTGTTGAATTAATCCATGAGACAAATATAATCCTTCCCTGAAAAATATCAAAAATTTTGCCCATAGGGTACAGGAGCCCTATTTGGGGCTTAACATTATGTAAATTTAGCTTAATCCATGCCCAGAATTTCAACTAATCAAAGAGTACTTAAGCCTTTTCCTTATTTATTCAGAATAATTGTGTTTTTAAAGTATACTAGATGTTAAATGTTCTTAAATTCTTTTTCCAGTCTGTACGAAAACAAGAGTGGACTGCAATCATTCCAAATTCCCAGTTAATTGTCATTCCATATCCCCACAATGTTCCTCGAAGGTAATGTACTTGCTTGAACTGAATTTGGTAAAAATACTATCAACTGTGAATCACAGACGCATCTTTTTTAAAACTCGCTCTATTCCTGCCATGTGCCCATGAGAGCCATCATTTAATTTCCTTACAGTAAGCCTTAAATGACTAAACATACCTACACAAAAGTTCCCTGACATTTTTCATGAAGAACCAATTAAGCCTTATTAGAAAAACAGCAGGTTAACTAATTAGAGATTTATATATATTCTGCTTAAATAAAGTGGTCTTCAGTTTACTGGCTATAAATTCTAAAATTTCAGGATGCTGAACTTTTTAATAAGCACTGATCTTTTTAATAAAAGCTTTGACAAGTGGTATATATCCCACAGTGGTTAGACACACATTTTGGAGTCAAACAGACCTAGGCTAGAAACGCAGATTCACTGCGGACTGGGATGGGAAGCTAGTGCTTTGTCCCTCTGAGCTCAGTGTCTGCATCTGTCAAATGGGCGACAGAACACCTACCTTCTAAGGAGGAGGATGAATTATGCTTAACCCAGCGCCGGCAGAAAGTAAGTTTTCAGTGAACGGTAGGTATTTTTATCCTTATTAACACACTGTGTTCCTTTCATAATATAGCATTTAGCTCTAAATCCTTAATTCATCTTTGTTCATTTTTCTTTAAATTACTAGATTGATTCCATCTTTTTAAAAAAGTAGATGATGAAAGTATTCACAAACACTTAGATTTCACTGGGAAGAACAGAACATGTTCTTAAGGCTGGTGTGATCTCATGAAACATAACCTGAGAAATGGTCTCATGTGTCTGTGACTGTGTGACCAGTGGGGCCCTGCTGCTTATAGCTCTCCTCCAAATACGGGCTGATTGTTCCTTATTAGGTTTTCAGGTGGGATCTCTCCAGCTGATGCCACCTCATGAGCTGGCTATATGCATCTCTTTCCAACTCCATTCAGTGAGGTCACATTCAAATCAGCTATGATGAGTGTATTTACACCATGACAATTGCCAAGTGCCAGTCCAAGTTCGCTGTTTTCCCCAGAGATCAGTTGACCAGTATACCGCTGGATGTGTTTTATGGTGGCTTACGGGCTTTAAGAACAACTTAAGCAAACACCTTTATTATAGCATGATGCTTGAAATAAGATAACATCAGTAGAAATAGTCATAGTCTGAGTTCACTATGAGTTCACTGAGTTTAAATGAGTCAGTATTGTGTGCTTGTTAGTTTCCTATACAGGAAATTTATAACAAAAGTAGAAAATATGCACCCTGAGTAGGAAACTATAAATCATGGTACTTCTGTGTGGCGCAATATCGTGACATAGAACAATCTCAAAATAGAGTGGTGAGCAAAAGACAATACGGACGTTGCACGTACAGTATGTATAATCAACCATTTATGATTCTAAAAAGAAGACATCTGCGCACATACGCTTATATGCGTATAAAATATCTCTGGAAGGATATGCAAGAAGCTGATAAGAATGACTGCTTCTGAATAAGAAACTGAGGATTGGCCTTTTGTCCAGTTTTTTTCTTATCAAAATTCCTATATTCATGAGGTAAATCTCTCAAAAGAACTCTCTTTTAAGTATGTGGTAACATACTGAGATGAGCTAACCTCAACTAGGTAACAATGTTTGTTTTCTTACTCTTCAATGTGGAAAATTCTGTGGTAGCTTTTTTCCATAATCTCAACATTTTTCATGTTTCTCCTGCGCTTTCTGAAGAAATGTTCTTTTTCACATTTATGTACATAATAACAACCAAATTGATTTTAGTCTGAGGTGTATTTTGAGATTATTGAGTAGAGACTAACTTATGGATCAATAAATTTTAATTATCCCAAAATACATCAATTGCTACTTGCCATTCATCATAATGATCTTTTATTAAACTTTTAAATTGAAAATATATCCACTATATTTTCAGGGAAAACAAAAAGTTATTTGTAGAACCACCGGCACTGTTGGTAATATAAACCCAGTTTTAGCCTTTTCAGGGTTTGCAAATGCTACAGAATGGACTGGTTTAGAAGAGCGAGCTACTTCTATTTATGCTAAAGTCGGTGTATTGTCAGCAACACTGATGGACTAAAAGTGATTTTGTCAGACGTCTCAACGTCACTGTAGTAATGTAAACCCTCCAACATGACACAGAAATGGCAGAGTTTTGCACAAGCCATCCATGTACACCCACTGGGACGTATGGTGGTTTTAGTGGGTCATAGTACGTAGGTAAACGGGTCAGAAAACGATGATACAGAAATCTTATCGAAATCATGTGGCTACACAGCATCAGAGGTCAAGGTTTTAAATTAAGCAAGTCAGTCAAGATGTAAAAACACTGTCTAAGATTGTTCAAAGTACCCTTGGTAAGTTTACTTAATAATCATCACAGAACCAAAGAAAAATATCCATCATCTCATCAAAAATTCTGTTTCAGTTCGCTGAGTACAATCTGAACTCTGCGGGCTCATCAGTATAGTTGGCTCTATGTAAATGTAATGGCTTTTGTTTGATTTCTAATGAATGGATAGATGGGTAAATGGCTTCATGAATGGGTTCATTAATTAATAAGCCATTTTGCTTTTTGGTCTCAGTAGAATTTTATTTTTCAGTTAAAACTGTTAATTTTAATTCTTCTGTTTTCGTCTACAGCTGGAGTGCCAAACTGTATCTTACGCCAAGTAACATTGTCCTACTTACCGCCATAGCTCTTGTCGGTGTCTGTGTTTTCATCTTGGCGATAATTGGCATTTTACATTGGCAGGAAAAGGTTTGTTCATTGAAGTGAAATATTAACTTTGGTTAATTTGTAATAGTAATATATTGCTCTTTAAAAATATTGCATGTTAAACTCTTTTGACATGACTAAGATTTTCTGATTTTTCAAGTTCTGTTCATAATGTCATGTTACTGATCATTTCTTTTATCCCCTTAAGTTCTGTGTCTCTTAGCAGTTCATACAAATCATAAAACTATTCATTTAAAAACTTTGATGCTGTACAATAGTTATAAAGTGAACACCCCAAAATCACCAGGTATGTAGAAAAACTTATTTAAAAACACTTCCATAATGGCCTGAAAAATAATCATTTTTTTAAATGGCTCTGTTCATTATCTAACTGACAGAGGTGTGGACACTTTTACAGGAATGACAGCTAGCTCTTCATAAAAAGGATTAGAGCCCAGAGAGGTTAAAAGACTTTCTCACGGTTCAGGTGGGAAGTGACAACTAAAGTGAACATATCTTTTCCATCTCTCTGTTCTTTGCACTAAACTAAGCTGATTTCTGTTCTTCAGTATAAACACCCTAAATAATGATTAAAAACAAAATGCCAAAAATGTGGATTTTTAACTGTTTATGAGGAGAAAAAAAGAGGCTATTACAGAAATGTATTAGCAACTGAGATATAAATTCAAAAAGCTAATTTCTATTTGGACATGAAGTACATAACTACCAGATTCCAACACTGTTCCCCAAAGGGCTCCTTTGTGTCACCGAAGTGCCTTCTTCTTTGCACCTACTCCCTTTGTATTGTCATGCCATCCTAATCACTTTTTAACTAAAATTACCATTGGGTTTATCTTAGCTATTTTAACTTGTGAAAAAAGAGAACATGTTAATTGTTCTGATAAATGTTCATAGGTTTTTCTCTCCAAAAATAGCACTCCTTTCATTTCAAATAATAAAGTTACATATTCAGTTCATTTGAAGACTGCAGCTGAAGTGGTAAGATCCAGGGTGACCCTACGTGTGCTTTTGTCCAGAAGCGTCGGCCATAGTCTGAGATATTACACAGCTCCAGACCTGTAATGGGAAGAGAATTAATTTGATTAATTTCTCCGACCTGATTACAGGAACTTTGTGGACTTATACAGTAACGGTGCAGTGGCTAAAGGGCGAGGTTTCACATACATACGGGTGCCCTGCCCCGGTGGTACCACGGGGCCTTTCCTGCCTCTTCGCCCACTTACCTCCCATTCTGCCATTTCCTCACCACGTGTCTGTCCTAGGCCCTCTGCTTTCTGCACTGTCCCTGCCGATTTTATCTAAATTCATGGCTTTGGCTGTTGACTCATGTAGCCCCAGCCCGCATCACCCCCACTCCCAGCTGTCACCATGACATCTCTACCTAGATCACTTGCAAGCATCTTAAAACAGGGTTCCAAAGCGTTGTCTGGCTTCTTCCTTGCCTGCACATGCGCCTCACTCGTTGCCTACTGATGGGCCTCCGTGGGCATCCCCCAGCGGCCGCTCCTGCCTCCCTGCAGCCAGGGCTGTATTTCAGCACCTGGCTCCGACCGCCTGGTCTGCCTGCACCCGTTCTCTCCCCTTCACGCAGCTTCCTCATCACGAAGTGGAGCCTTAAATGTGTGCCTCTAGTGACGACCCCCGCCTAAACCGTGGGCACTCCTCAGCCTCAGGCCCTCCCGTGGGCTCACCCTCCACCCTCCACCGTGCCCCCCTTTCCCCCACCAGGCGCCTCCGTCCCACCCTCAGTCCCATAAACACCATCCTTTCAAAACCCTCCCTCTCTCTCCTCACCCCAACCTAGAAAGTAATCTCGGTTTTTCACTTTTTATCCTGAAATAGTTATTCAGTATTTTTGGTTTTCTTCTTTCTAGGTTTCAAGTTCCTCAAGAACAAGATACAAAACTGGGGGTCTTTTTGATCCCTCAAAATGCCAAGCACAGTACTTTACTGGTAGCAGAGGGTCAAGAAATACCCACTGAATAGGTTACCCCCAAAATAATTAAGGCACTTTAACATACTTAATTTAGATTCATTTATTAACATCAGTATTGAGTGAGGAAATGGAACAGTTGATTCCATCCTTATAGAATCTCAAATAAGTAATAAAGGATAACAAACCAAGCATTTAAGAAATATTTCTTGTTGGTTTTCAAATTCACTTTAGTGGATTATTAATTATTAAAATCACAACTGTAAATTTTAAAAATATTTAATATTATATAAAATCACACCGTTTATCTATTAATTGCTGAGAGCTTTTTTTAACCACTTTATATTTCAGAAATAAGTTTTTTCTTGACATTTTCCTACCATTTATAAACTAGTCTAAAATTCTTTTTCAGAAAGCAGATGATAGAGAAAAACGACAAGAAGCTCATCGGTTTCATTTTGATGCTATGTGACCTGCACTTAATATCACTGGAACAGCTATTCATTTGATTAACTGAAATACTAAATTTGGCTTTTGAATATTATTTATAAATGATGCATCCCTTGGTAATTATTGGAAAGTATTTAAATAAATATGGTCTGACTGTGTCACTGGTCTTTTTTTAAAGGACTTTGTATACAATAATTTGGGTTCTTTATTCCATTGTGCTGTGTGTTTTTGTTCCTTTGTGGAATGTGTTGCATGCACTCAGGTGTTTATATATTTATGCTCTTATTAGAATAATTATAATGGAAAAAGACGTGTAAATAAAAATCTTTAAATGAGCAGGGGTTTTTATGTTCCACTTGAATTGGTCTTGCTTCTTATTCTAATGATGCAAATTTCAGTTTTGTGACTGTCACACAGATAAAGTCATTAAGCCTCCACCTTCATCACGGCAGGTCAGGGTCTCTTGCCAGTGGCTTACAGTGTAGTGATTGGGAATCAGACAGACTGCCTTAAACTCCTGGTTCCACAATTTACAAGCTGTATGAACTTGGCCAATTGCTTAACCTCGTCGGTAAGCCTCAGTTTCCTTGTTTATAAACGGGGTTAATCCTACTGCTGAGTTACTGTGAACCATAAATAGGGTGATGTGTATAAAGTGCTTAGCTTAGTGTCTAGCCGAGGCCAGTGCTCAACAAGACATCATTATTACTGTTTTTAGATCATTTTTTTAGACTACTGCAACTAATCACCAGTAGACTAGATAGAATTTTATTTTCAGGCATGAGGAAATGATGATATTCTTTGGAAATTCTTGGTGGTTGACATCTTACATAAAGATTTAGTACTTTCTCATATTCACTAAAAATTATATTATAGCACCCTCCAGGAATTAATGTGCCTAAAATTTTCATTTGAATACTGATCTTTGTCACAAATGAAGAGCCTCTGATTTCCTGAAAGGAAACTGCTGTAGGGAGCATCTGGGAATGCAGATCTTCAATCACGTTTCTATTCTCAGGAGCTTGTAAGAGTCTATCATTCACATTCAGGCATCAACGCAAATTTCTGTGAACTTCATCTCACCAAAAAGTTACTGAAGACTCCAATCTAGCAGAAAGTTTATATTATCAGCGTTCATAATTTTCTGATATGCAAATGGACATGCGATGGCTATAAAACATAAAAACTTATCTGAAAACAATTTTGTTCTTCCTATTATTTTTTTCTTTACAGTTCACTGAGAATGGCACGTGTGTATAGTGGTTTACTTTGTGTAGCTAAGCATGTTAATATGGCTTCTTAATAAATATTCTGTATCAAAACGAAGTGTTTTGGTGAGTTTGTAAAGGATCATTCTGCAGCATGAAAAGGCTAAGTCACTTGTCCGGATGGTGAGACAGCGGTCAAGTGACTCACTCGTTACATCCTTGTGAGTCGGGCAAGACGGCCACCTCCTGACTGCAGCGCTGAGTTCAAGTCATTGAACAGTCGTCAACCACAACCCACGCCTGAAAACAGGTAAGCTTAGGATATATCGCGGATACAGCACGAGTTTCATAACTCACCTGGAGTCAGGGTCTACGAAGCAAATAAGATGCTAATGACAATTTAAAATACAATCAGTGCGCTTGTACCATGTTTATCTTCATACCAAACTCCAAATGCAACATCAAGGCATTTATTAAGGGCCAGCAGGTGAAAAACACGTCACAACATTGACAATCAAATACAAACACCTTTATATTAACTGATTTTTGTCATGGAAAGAGCACAAGTCTTAAGATTGGACAAGTCTGGATGCAGAGCCCGACTCTCCCATTCTGTGGCTTTTATTCAGTCACTAGCTCTTTCAGCTTCGGTTTCTTCATCCATAAAACCAGGATCATGAGCAATACCTTCCGTAAAGGACCGTTTCGAGTCTTACGTGGCAGTCAGCCTAGAA